GCTTGTATTTGTCTTTGGCTGCTCAATTTTCTTGCCAATGCGAACGAATAGGTAAACCGATAGACCGAAATTTGCAGCTGCAACTAAAGGACACACCAAGGATTGAATTCTTGGACGCTTACATTGGCGCTATACTCAAAGCCGTTAGGTAAGTAAAGTGTTTCTTCCTGCATCTTCTCTTCTCTGATCGGTTAGTTAAAGAAAAAAAGACATTACTATTTGTAGGAATGGATCAGACACGAGAGGCTACTTCGTATGGTCATTCATGGATTTGTACGAGTTACTGACCGGATACGATGCTAGTTTTGGAATGTACTATGTGAATTTCAGCGATCCTCAACTCAAGAGATCTCCAAAGCTCTCTGCTCAATGGTACTCTGCTTTTCTCAAGGGCAACAACTCCACCTTACAAGGCATCGCAAAATTGCAGACCAATTTATCTTCGTCTTCCTCTTTCTAATGTAATGATGCATTTCTTATATCCTCGCATGAATCCAGTCCGATTATGAAACAGTAATAATACGTCGCATGAGGGACACTTGAGCCAAAGCAGTTGTACAGAACAAAGAAGATGATATAACAATACTGAAATTACGCACAAAGAAGGGATCTCAGATCTGAAAATCACAAGAATTCCTCAATATTAGAATTTCATAAACTTGTCCAACTAGTCCAAGCATTTGAATTGCTAAAATCAATCTCAATTTCATAGAGAAGTTGAGAAAGTGAGTAATAACCTCTGAGTCCAACGCCTGTAAGCAGAGAAGAGAAGGAAGATAACCAATACAAGAGCCAAACTGTAAATAACGATGTTGGTTATGCTTATACGAGAAGGTCCTTTCTTCTTCTTACTTTGTTGCAATAAAGCTTGAGGCTTGATCTTCGCCATTTAGTCGCAGAAAATTACCTGAAGAAGACGACTCAATAGGAATAAAAAAACAAAAGTAACCAGACAAAAGCATCAGATTCAAGAGCGGTTTGATTCTGAAAACAAATCTATGAGATCGATAACTCTTCTATTCCGATCTAAACAGAAGGAGCAAATTTTACGATGTGACGAGAGATTTTAATTCAAACGAATAGACTTGAAAACTCGGGAAAGACAAGTCGGAATCTGGAAACTCAACTCGAGTAAAGACATACCTTTTCTTCTTCTTCGAAGATCTTCGAAACTAAGTTTGCGTTGCTGTTTCCGCAAAGTGAGAGTTATTTGTTTGGTCTGCGAATCTATTTTGCCTTTAAAGGAAGAAGATGATTGCTGATACCTTCTCTTTTGAAGAGAGGCATTTGAATTTGAAAATGTTCAGTTTGATTTGATACAGTTTAAAACCCGGGTCGGGTACGGGTTCAATTTTACTCGGGTACGAGTCAAACACGGGTCGAGTACGGTTTAAACACGGGTCGGACACGGTTTATACAAGGTTTGGATACGGTTTAAACACGGGTCGGACACGGTTTATACAAGGTTTGGATACGGTTTATACACGGTTTGGCATGGTAACCGACATAAAATCACCTCGATTTGCGTGCAAACCGTGTTTAATTCGTGTCCCAACCGCGGTACAATCGTGTATTAATGGGCCCAGTTTCTCAAATTTTATATAGACCTAATATAATAAGTATGGGCCAAATAACATTTTTTGTCCGTTTATTATGAGCCCAAAATGTATACAAAGTGGTAAAAATTATTTACTCAGTACTCAGATTTTATTTAACCGAACCACATCACAAGTCCGGTACGGGAAAACCCAAAGACTGACGACTCTCTCTATCTTCCTCTCTCTCACCGGCGCCGGAGTAATTTTCCGATTACATAATCTCCGACGTAAACTCCAATTAATCGAGTGAATTAGGGTTCTAAGATGGAGAGACGAGTCAAACAACTTCTCTGGTCCACCACAACCAGTTCCTCCGTACTATCATAACAACTACAACCCTCATCATCATCAGATTCATCCGCCGCTGCAGTCACCTTACCACCATGTCGCCGCCGTTGGATTCCACCAATACCCACAAAACGAAAACAGAGATCATCGTTTCAATCAACCGCCGCCGCATTTCGAGAAATCTGAATAGTTACTCGACTAGCCATGCCAGGGTATTATTTGAAACAGCACTGTTGGTGATAGTGGGCTTTGCATTTATTGGGCCATTAATAAGCTCACAAATTTTTATTTCAACTGTTCGATCGCTTCGCTAGATATTTTAAGCATCACATGATTTCTCAGTTGCACCATATTTAAGAGTGGGCCTTACAATTCAATCATCCTCATAAATTCCTGATGAGATGGCTAAATAACATGGAAAATTTGTTAAAAGTTCACTAGATACTAGAGTTGGACTCGTGCGTTACGCGAAGTTACTTTCTCATATTTAGTGAAATTGTTCAATCCTCTTTTTGAATAAAATATTTTTCTCATCTATTAGTAAAAATTAATTTCTCAAAATTTTTTTTAGTAAAATCATATATCCTCTTTCTTTTTAAACCTTCAACCTTCTGACAATCTGTTAAAACACAATTATGATGATTCAATAAATAACATATTTTATTTCTTTCGGTTATCTCATATCGTTCATTTACATTTTTATTTATCGCTATATATAAACTCATAACATTATGATTACTTTCTAATGAACTACAATATAAATGAAAATATATTCATTATTGTAAATGTTATTTAGAAAATAAAATACTCAAATAATCCTAAATTAAATATGGTTCGCGTGATTCATGAGTTATACAATTTTATTAAACTTAAAGACAAAA